TTAAATGATCAAATTATAGTCTTTTTAGGAGAGTTTTCCTCCCTGTCTTAAAGCAACCAGATAATGTATTATATATTTTTTAAATGCTTTATAGTGCCAAAGAGAAGAGTTCATATCATATTCTTGACACATGCTATAGATATGAAATAAACACCTTTATTTCCTAGTGGCTACAAAGCATGTAAAAGTACAGAACCAACTAACGTTTACTTAAAAGTTTTTTCTCAATTTTTCCCATATACTTTATTTTTCCATTTTAACAAGTAGTAAGGGAAGATTGTTCTTACTTGTGAACGAGGGATAGCTTGACAGGCAAGAACCCTGTGGCTGCACAGCTCAACAAATGCAACCTCCCTCTGCTGCCCTGTCCTCTGGGACAGCTCCAGTGATTTGAACACCAACAATTCACATCCAGCAGTGTTTTCTGTTCCTGAAGCTTGTCTTTGCTTGAGGCTTTTATCTCTTAGCTTAGTACTGAAGGCGAGGAATATCTTGCTCTCCATCAAAATGCCTTATAAGTGAAATCACCTTTTGTTATTCTGGAAGGGAAAACTTCTTGTAGTAAAACTTCTCCATGCTAGTCCATGGAGTTGTGACACCAAGTTTCACAGTGGATGTTGCAAGTCAAAAGAAGAAAATCAGCAATTCTCACAAGTTTGTATGTCCATTGTGATTGGCTATTTTAATAGTTTTTTTCTTTTAAAGTGAGAGAAATAAAGAAATAAAACATTAAATGAAATTATCCATTCTCTTCTTCAGGATTCCCTTCCTGGAGTGGCTAAGCTGACAGAATTATCAAGTGTGCTCTTGTTTGTTAAATGACATCTCAGCTTTTACTGTTACATCTTTTGCAAGCTTGAGATTTGGAAACCACCATTCTAGGAAAAACCATGAAGGCTCATTGCCAGTTCACATGAGACATCTAAACATTTTCAAATGGAATGTACTGCTACTAAAAATACTGGGAGTTTGGGAAAGTATGCTTCAGTGTGACCTCTAACCCTACACATTCTAGTTTGTTGCCCTAGTTCTTAAGCAGCTACAGGGAGAACAACTCAGCCATGTCTCCTTGCGTCCTCTTACTCCATCTATGGACTAGCCTTCCATTGTTAAAACAGATATTTTATGAGTTATTTATATTTTTGGCTACTCTGAGCAACAAATTTTGGTTTCTCAGAAACATTTGACATGCTATTTTTGGTATGAGAGTGAAGCATTGAGATTGCAGAAACTCACTTTCCAGTTGTCCTCACTTTCTTTGAGGCCCAAGACTGGCATGCCCAATTAAAGAAATACTGAGGTGTCTGTAGTACACAGATGCTATTTAGCTGACAAGAGGAATTGATCTGTGTCTGACAGTCATGAAACTTGCAGTCCAAATCCCACAGCACGGCAGTATGTGATTAAGGGCTAAAAGGAAGATTCAGACAGTAAATTCAGAAGCTCAAGGAAAGGGGGAGGTCACTATAGGCAGAAGAGTTGAGGCAGGTGGACCCTAAAAGGGTCCCCTGTGGCAAAGGACTTCACAGGACCTTTGTGTAGGCTTTGAGGGGACAGTAACCTTATGATCAGGTGATTCATTTCACAAAACAACTCAAGGGAAATAAAATGGCCTACTTGGGACCTATTTACCACTGAGTTTCCATTGCCTGAAAGTGATGCCCCACTTAGCCTCTCACAGCTTGCTTATACAGTATTTTAATTATCTGAGGAATGAGAAGAAAGGACTTTTTAAAAGTATATTTTTTCCTTGATTTTTATAGGCTTTTTAGTTTAAGTCATAAAATGTCAGGATTCGGGGCCTGTTTGCTTTAGAGCAGAGCACTGGAGACCTCCTAACTGGGATATGTACCTCTCTGGGGCCAGTAGGACTTTGCTGTGATCTCGGAGTGGACTCCAGTCCCAGTGGCCATCTCAAAGAAAATGATCTGAGTGCCCAGTTGTGAGTGAAGATTGCTTGTGGATGTGCTCTTCTTACTGGTCTCTGGACCCTCTGTGCCTCTAGGGCTTCATTCACTCTTTCTTCTGTCATTTACTAATTAATGGGTGTGCTGAGTCATGTGAAAATGGCCCTTGAAGTGCAAAAGTCAGGCAAACAGAGTTCATTGTGCATTTTGACAGAAGTTGCACTGTGGTAAACCCTGGTTCTTTGGGAATAAAGAAGAGAGCAAATAGCTCAGTCTGAAGAGAGTTCGCAGTTTCAAAGGAAGACTTCATGGAGGAAATGCTATTGGACATTGCCATGTAGGCAGAAGTTGGCTGGGTAGAGGGGAAAAAGGGTTTTCCAGGCAAAGGAGGCAGTGGAGAGCACGGTGGGTCCAGGAACTTCATGGGTCCAGAACACAGCAGATGAAGCAAGCTCGCCTTTCATTTTTTGAAACTGTGACAGTTACATCAGCTCTAAAGAACAACTGTTTCTGCCCTCTCATAACAGCCTTGGAGGTCTGGTCCACCTGTGTTCTGTGATTTAGGAACTTAACGTGCCCCTTGTAGGTTTCCCCTGGAGAATGAGCAGGCCAGGTGAAGCTGTTCCTAGTAATGGTTGTGTGTTTGTATTTGTCAAGTTCAGAGGTGTTGTACATCAGTGACTGTTTTAACAGGCAAATATAAGTTTTTTCACAAATGTCAGTAGGAAATGACATGATGGATTTGCAAAAAGGCCTGCTTTCTCCTTTGTACCTCAAATTCTAATTAAATTTTAATCCATTTGAACACAGTCATGGAAATGGCAGCCATCAGCTACTCAGGACGTTATTTGATAGGAAAATTTTTTCTTCCCATTTTTAAGAGTTTCTTGGTTTCTAGAGCTCATTATACATTGTCTAAATTTCATTTTAATTTTTATAACAATCCCTCAAGGTCAGTAGTTAGGATGCAATCAACCATTCACTATAGGTAATTAGGGAAGCATTTAGCCTTTGAAATAGTTGATAGGGAGATGCCTCATTTTGTGGGTGAAACATGGAGGGATGGACTTCTCTGTGATCATAGCATGTCTGTGGCAGAACTTGAACCTGACCTCATTCTGACTCAGATCCCAACCTTCTTCACTATGTCTTACTATTTTCCCTTCACTTTGTTCATCACTGGTGAATTCTGGCTCTCCTCAGCTATATATTCTACCCACATTCTACAGTACATCTTCATTTAGCAAATACTTAACCATCAACTATGTGCCAGGCACTGTTTCATTCTTCTTTTTTTTTTTTGGTCTTTTTGAGACAGGGTGTCGCTATGCAGTTCAAGCTGGCCTTGAACTCACTTTGTAGCCCAGGCTGGTCTCCAACTCAAAACAATCCTCCTGCCTTAACCTCCTGAGTGCTGGGATTACAGGTGTTCGAAACCACGCCCAGCTAGGTTTTTTACTTCTTCTGCCCTTAATCTGTGCACCTCACAAACTGCATACTATACTGAACAGAAGCTCAGCAGGTGCTTGCTGAGTGAGCATCCCATCACAAATGCCCCATTAGAAATAGTTTATAGATAATTGTCAGCATAGCAAGTGGTCCTTTAATTCTCACCCAGCTTGGAGTACTTCTTTTCTGATTGGAGAGTAGGGCAGAGCTGGCCTCTTCCTGCACAGGCTTACCTCACCAGGCTCACTGTGCCTCATACACAGGCCAGGCACCGAGCAGTCCTGGTGCTGAGCATGTGTCTTATGAGCTGCACCAAGAAATTCTTATGTATTGTCTTACCTATTGTCATATTCTTGACATTTGTTTGTTTAGCCACAGCCATGTAACTGGAGCAAAAGGGAAACCAGTCTTACTTTGAGGAAGGGTTGGGCTCTTCAGACCAAAAGCTTTTCTTTAAAGTGATAGCAGCTGTTACTTTGAGAACATTCCTTTCCTTTGGAGAAAAAAATGCCCTTAACATCTGCAGCAAACCATCTGATGGTTTGCTGACTCAGAGTAGTTATGAAATAAATTTGTCTTTTCCTGCTTTGGAAGGTGACTGTGTGAGAGCTCTCAGGCTGTAGCCTGCAGCCCAGCAGGAATGTCTTTTTAAACAGTTGAACAAATTCCCAGATTAGAAAGAGTCTGTGCAGCTGATGTCACTCTTTCCTGAGTAATTCTGGGTGGTTATTTACTGCATTCTGTCTGCCAGAGGGCCAGGAACTTGAATGAGCTTCATTATTAGAACTCTAACTTGCAGACATGTAGGCAAGAGCTGATTGCCACAGTTAGGATGAAGGTTTCAAAGACCTGTTGCCCACTGAGCCTTAGGGAATCTGTGTGGAGTGGGACCTAGCTCCGTGTCTTCTCTGGCTGCACTCAAGGGAGTTTATATGATGGCAAGCAGCCAGGAGTAAGAAGCTGCCCTGCAGTCACTCTGGAGGCAGTGGTGGCGGCCACAGCAATGTGTGGGACTTTCCATAGCTTCTGAGCAGCCCGGCAGTGGTAAGTGTGGTGTTTCCCACTTGGAGCAAACAGTATTTTCAGAATCACCTTTAATATTGTTGGATTCTTCCTTGTTTTCCTGATGGGTAAAATACTTGTTAAGGTGAAAGTTAGGTTGGAAGATTGAGCTGAGCGAGTTAGGGAAATTATATGCTAAATTGCTAATTGGTCACAGAGTGTGCTGGGGAGTTCACAATTGTGAGAGCCTGTGTTAGTGCAATCTGCCTCAGACGTGTAGATGCTCACAAAGGGCTGTTGGAGATTTCTCAGGGTCATTCTGTTCTGCTTAAAATAAACTATAGCATACAAACATTTCATCTCGGCCCATCCTTCATTTTCAGCAGCCTCTTTTTTTCTTCCCAGCTGTATTTTTCTTACCTATAGCAGTGCTTTAAAAGGACTTGCCTGCTGGGAACAAGACTGTTCTAGAGTCGTGTATAAAGGGCTAGAAACATGATCCTCCTTCCCCTCTATGCAGATCATTGCCTTTTGGGCATCTTCTCCTGGAAGCCCACCGGTATTGCTTGGACTACTTGAGTGGGCTTTGGTGTGTGCTGCTTGGCTGTCAGCCCCTGTTGACACAATGTGTTGTCTCTCTAGCACAATCCTGGAGGAAGAGAAGGCCCAGCAAGAAGAACGGATGAGGATGGAGTCGAGAAGACAGGCCACTGTGTCCTGGGACTCTGGAGGATCTGACGAAGCACCGCCCAAGGTAGCCAAGATCCCCACCCCAACTGTGGGTTTTCTCTGTGATGTAGGCAGCTATTTCCTGTGATCTGGTTATTCTAAGAGTAGCGGTTATAACTCTGACCCATTGTTGTTTGCTTTTCCTCTCCAGATTGTCATCCTGGGCACTTATTTTCCTAATTTGCCTTTTAAATAGAGGCTGTTGAAAAACAGGAGCATTGGAGCAGATGTGATCTTAAAATGATCTTCTTCCTGTTCCTTTACCTGTACTCCTTCATATCATTGAACACCTGGCTGTGGGGAGGTTTTCCTTTGTTGCTATCAGAGATCACCCCAAAGATCAGTCAGGATTGAAACATGAAACTAGGCCACTGATGCTTTGCTTTTTGCTTCAAAAATGAGTCCCGTTTCACCCAACAAAAGAGTACACTTTTTCTTGTTGTTCAGTTTTGCTAAGTACTTTGTGCACATTTTCTGTCGTCTTGGCAGAACTGGTAGCTTTTGTGTGAGAAGCATGTTATATAACTTTCGTTTCCTTGATGAAACCTGCCAGGGTCACCCTCACACCTTGCTGTCACTCACCTCCAAGGCCTCCTTGTGTCCCCTCCCACCTGAGGAAGGTGGCCATACCCTTTACAGGGGCTGTGCTGAGCTGGACTGGAAGGTTTTAGACAGTTGGCCCTTAGCTAAATACTTTACTTAGATTAAGAAGGCTTTATACACTTTCTGCTTTTGATAGGATGGTATTTTTATATATTTGCTTACTTGCCATGAATGATCCAATTTAGTCCTTTTTCTGGAAAGTAAAAGGATAATAAGTGTTTTTTTACAGTTAATAGCTATTTGATATTTAGCTAAAAATATAACTTTTTGAAAAAGTTTAGCAATCTGTTAACACAAAGAACTGTTTGAATATTGGAACAGTTTTTTTTGCTGTGAAGCCTGAAAATTTACTTTCTTGGTCTGTGTTGAGCTATGTAAAAGCAAACCTTTCGCATACTAGAAGTGAGTGTAAGTGATAAGCACAATTCTACATATGGGTAGAGCTAAAGATGCATCAGTCCAACCACTTGGCAGAGAAGAAAAAATCACATCACCTGTGGGGAGGTGTTGCTTAGAACAAGACGGTGAAAAAAACCAGAACACTTCTATATTTAATGAAAACAGAAGATCCATAGTTATCCACAGAAAAGCGTGAACCCCCTGCATCTAAGGCCCTCCATGTGCTTTGTTTGTTTTTTAGACAGGATCTTGCTGTGTAGTCCAGGCTGGCTGTGAACTCACAGCCTTCATCCTGCCTCAGCTTTCCGAGTGCTGGGATTACAGGCATATTCTCTCATGCCCGGCCTGGCCCTCCATGTTCTGTTTAACAGTTTTCCTGTGTTTTAATGCCATAAGAGCTGCAAAATAGTTCTGTGCTGGGAGGCAGGAGACTCTCATCCATAATGCCTTGGGCCTTGAAGTCAAGCCAGTCCGTCCATCTCAGACTGATATTTACAGTCTGATGACAAAATAAGTTACCTTCCTATTTCAAACCTCATTTTCTTCCTTTATATCTCTTGGGAATGTTATAAGGTAATTTATTTTGTATAGGAGTTCACTTAGTACACAGAAGTACAATAAATATAGTGTTAAATGTTTGGTGATAAGCACCAGATAATGCAGTACTCTCCTGGACCTGAAGAGCCCTTTTCAGCTAAATAATCTCTCTCACACACATATCTTGTCCCCCTCTGCCTCCCAACCCCCACCCGTTTTCCCCCTCAGTGTTAGGGATGGAACCCAGGACCTCACACGTGCTAGGTGAATACTCTACCACTGAGCTATACCCCCAGCCCCTAAATAGTTTTCTGTATACCAATCTGTTGGGCTTTTAATGATTTTAGTTTAATTAATTTTTAAAATTAGTTCATGGAGTAGAGTGGTTCAGGCACTTTTTTCAGTACTACTTGGGATAGAATCCATGGGATTCTTTTTATTTTTGAGACAAGGTCTTGCTAAGTTGTCCAGGTGTGACTCCCACCTTGGATTTCTCCTCTTTGCACCTTCATACCCAGCTTGATAATTTGGCTTTAGTTCTGATTTTTTTCTTGTATTTTTAATTTTCAAAAGTTGGCAACTAATTAATCTTTCTCAGAAACTTTTGTTTAATTAGTACATGTTTACAATATAGAATGTTTGCATTTCTTGTGAGGAATTGGTACATGTACTGCATAACACATCTTAATTCCTTTTTTCATCCCCTTTTTCCTCTCCCCATCTCTTGACCCCATTCCCATCTGAGAAAGCTCTAGCTTCCTACTTCTTGTTATATATCTTTTACTTTACTCTTTATTTATAATTTGGGTTTCTCATATAAAAGAAACGATGTGATACTTTTCCTTTATGGCAGAGTAGTACTCTATTATGGGTAAATAACACTTTTTAAAATCTATTCATCTGCTTAAAACTTTAAATATTCTCATCTATCTTTCTCTTTTGGTCCCCCTGTCTTTCTTGCTTTCTCTTTTGGTGTTTTCCAAATGCATATTTTGAGGCTCTTTTCTATAATCAGAGATTGTTCTGCCTTATACCAGGGCTCATTTATCAGAAGCAGAGGCCAGCAAAGGATGCCACTGGTTGACCCTGGTGCCTGACATTCTGTTGGGACACAGCCACACACACACACGCACACACAGTGTGCATGTTGTTTACAGTTGGTTCCACCCCATAGGCAGAGCTGAACAGAGACACTGTGGTGCACAAAGCTTAACATACTTAATGTTTGACCCTTGCAGAAAAGGTTAGACAGCCGTTGGATCAAAAGTTCTAATGGCTAAAGTCACCTAAATTAGTATAGATATTCAGATGCTTGAGATTATAAGCAGGTATACCTCTGTTTCCTTCTAATACAAAGAGCTTAGTGCTGGGTGCAGTTTTTACATTTTTTAGTGTTCATTGCAGGATCAGATTCTGCATTTGTAGTCTAAAGTAGGCTGTGTCTGAAGTGGATCTGTTTTTCAACATGGTAGACTAGTGTTTCCTCTGGCAATTTGCCCTGTGAGGTGAGAATTTCATAGATCTTTGCAGGTTTTCATAATTCTGCCTGTGATATCCTAGGATAAATAAATTCCACTTTGATTTCTTAAATTTAAGTAGGATTTTAGGCTTATGTAGATAAATCCTGTGTACCACTAAAAAAAAATGATTGGGCTGCAGGGTGTAGCTCAGGGGTAGAGCACTTGCATAGGCCCTGGGTTTCATCCTCGGCCCTACAAAAAGGGGAAAAGAAAGAGCAGAAAAGATACTGTTTACTGTAGCTTCATTAGTTTTTGGTTTTTGAGACAAGGTCTCACTGTGTAGCTCTAAACTTAAACTGATTTTGTAACCCGGCTGGCCTTGAATTTGCAGTCCTCCTGTGCCTCTGCTTCCCGTGCTGGGATTACAGGCATGTGTCACCATGCCTACGTAGGTCCTTCATTACTTTTAAATGAAAATGTTTTCCTCTCTCCTATTCAAGATTCAAAATTTAAATTTCATTAATAACAAAACATTTTAACCAGAAAGCTAATTACTAAAAATGTTCATAACAGGCTTTGGCTATAGCTCAGTGGTAGAACAGGTGCCTCGTATGTATAGTGTCTTGGGTTCTTTCCCCACCACTGAGAGAAAAAAAAATCATCTACACTAAATATCAGTTTTTTTATATAATAATAATGTTTAGGAAAAATTTAGCTATGATGAGCCCAGCTTGTGAGGATCCTGCTTAATGTTCATTTTCATCTGTCCATGTTGCTGTCCTTTAATTCTTGTCGGATTTGTGGAGCGCCTCAGCATAAAACTGTTTTTAGTACAGCCACTCTCCAGGTGGTCCTTTGATTCTCCAGGTTTACAAAGACCATGTCACAGGTCCAGGAGATTTGAACTCTTTTTCCTAATCATGTTAAAATGTTGTGCCTTTTCCAGTTTGGTGACATTGGAACTGATAAGAACCACTGCCATTTGCACAAGTCAGGAAGTGTTGCCTGGCTGCATTAGTTGTCACTGTTCTTTAACACCGTACTCACACCATAAGAAAGGATGCCAGTTTGTGAAAGATGAAGCGGTGTGAGGACACAGGAAGTACGTACCCAAACCTGATGTCCATCTCAAGGAAAGTGCCATGCCACTGAGCTAAGCAAAACACATCATGGAAATCCAGCTCGACTTGGAAAAACAGCTGGCAGATGTGCTGTCTTCAGAGTTGCAGAAAAAAAAGGAAGCTGTCACTTCAAAGAAAACAATTGAATGTATTTGCTGTCAATGATAAAATTTGAGGTTTCAAGGAAAACAGTTAGAATTTTGAAAAAAACCACCGTAACCTTGGCAAAGCTTCCCAATTCTTAGACTATTCTGATGAGCTCAAGATGACATTAACAAACACAGTTTCTTAAAAGTACATACTATATAATACTGGAATTTGTCAATGTTGAGAAGGTCTGGTTACTCAGTAAACCACTACTTTTCCAAGTATGTAACCAGAATATAACCAAATCACACCTGGATAAAAGGGCCAAAGTGCAAGATAGAGTGATGGGTTTTAATGCAACAGATAAGTGGTAAGAGTTGAGATTCCGCATTGCTGTAGACTTAAAGAACCTACCACTCATTGAGTTTTGGTGCAGTATCAAACAATAGTATCCACATTGTGTCAAAAACAATGTAAAAATACTCCTCCAGGCCGGGACTGTGATTCAGTGATAGAACGCTTGCCTAGTATGTATGAGGCCCTGAGTTCAGTCACCAAAACTGGGAGAAAAAAAAAAAACTCTCCTCTTTTCTAAGTTGAATAGCTGGGTATGGCTCAACTTTCCTAACAGTCGTTGCTGTTCTAGAAGGTCAGTGTCTGGTGGACTGTTGTGTTACTGTAAAGCAGAGCTGGTTCCAGGTTCAGAAGAACACAATTTTTGTTTTTCCACGGTTTCCTGAGAGGGATGTAGGGAGTCCTGGAGCACCAGAATTGTACTCTGCTAGAAGCTGCCTTCCTGGCTTCCACCCTGTCCCCTTGCAACCATCAGGAGCCCCTCACAAGGACCTTTCTCATCCCTGAGAGATCAGCAACTCTCTTTGAGATCATCGGTCTCTTCCCTCTTCTCTCTCCTTGCTTGGGAAGATTCAGCGAAGATCCCTTTTGAAGGATCTTCGCTGAAGAAACAGCGAAGATCTGTTTTGCTGTGTGAAAACTCAAGTTTCTCTTGGAGAATGAGGTGCGGTGGCTCTGCTGATGCCGCAGTCACTAACAGTGAGGCTTCAGGAGTGTCCTCGCAACAGCCCTAGGAGGTGGCTCTTGTCACTATCCCCACTTCATGATTGACACAGTTAGGAGGGACGGGTAGTCTGGCAAGACCTGCCTCCGACCACACACCTAGCTCTTCTGTGGCAAGAACAGAAGCGAAGCAGTGCTAGCAGTGTGTTTGTAGTCTCCCCAGCTTGGGCTGTGGGATGTCATCTACTATGAAACATTTTCAACTTTTTTCCTGGTTTTTGGCGGTGGTAGTGGTATTTTGTTCATCTGTTGTTGTTGTTTTGTTTTCACAGTACTACTAGGGATTGAACCCAGGACCTTTGCAGTGTGCTATAGATCTATCCCTTTTTGTATATATTCTCTTTTGAAAGAGGCTTTAGCTAAGTCCTAAATTGCCTGGGCTAGGCTTGAACTTGGGATCCTCCTGCCTCACCCTCCCAGGAGTGCTGGGACTATAGGCATGTGCCACCAAGTCCAGCTTTAGCTATTGTTTGTTTTAAACTGGAACCCTGTATTATCATTTGCCACCTGTTTAAGTATTTGAGTCATTATGAGATATTTATAAAGCTTTTATCACTCTGATTTTTTATGCCCTTTTATGAATGGTCAAAAGTGTACTTATCATAAAAAGGCATCATACTATGATAGATTCTGGAATTCTGTCATTATGTGTGACCCTATTTAAATTTCCTGATTTCTCTAAGCCTATGTGAAATGGAGGTGATTTTTTGGTTTTTTGGGTTTTTTTTTGGTTTTTCTCTGGTACCGGGAATCGAACTCACAACCTTGCGCTTGCCAGGCAGGCGCTGTGCCGCTGAGCTAAATCCCCTGCCCCTGGAGGTGATTATATAGCTTTGTAGCATTGTTGTCAAATTGTACATAAAGTACCTTGTTTGGTGTGCACAGGGCACACTAAGTGGCAATTGTATTTTTGCTTCAGTTACTTAATACCACTTCCCAAATGTAAGCCAGAGGATATTACCTCTGTCACATCATGTGCTTCTGGGCTCTGCATCCTTCTATACTTGGACTCCAGGAAAAAGGGAATAGAAAGCCTGGGCCATGAGTGTGATTAATGCCTGTGGATTGACGTGTCGTCTAAAATAGCCATTGCCAGTGAAGTGTCAGTGTAGACAGAGTACTCTTTTTAAACCTTTTAAATTAGCGCAACTACTTTTCCAAATTAAGCCTTTACAAACATAAATCTGAAGGAATATGGTACACACTTCCGAAATACTCCCCTGGCACTCAGTAGAAAAAAGCCAAGAATACCCCTTAATACTCATTTCCTGTTGGGGAGACCTTCGGGAGAATTCATGACCCTTTTTAGTTAAGTTTGGAGTGGAATGCATCTGGGGTAATGCGTAAAATGTGACAAGGCTGAGGGATGAGTAAACATTTCTTCCCTTCCAGTAGGTGGGTGGAGCAAGTACAGAGTTCCTGCTGTGCAGGTCAGGACTTGCAAAGAGCTGTGGAGAACAGAGGGCTTGTGCTTCTGTTAGGCTGACAAGAGCAAGAACCCTTTGGGAAAGACTCCAAGGACAGGAAGTGTCTGGCAGGTGGAAAGAGACCTTTCACTGTGGGTTTTGTTGTTGCCATGGGGGTTTTTGGGTTTTTTATTGTTTGTTGTTTTTGTAGACCTGGGGTTGGAACCTAGGGCCTCGTGCATTCTAGGCAGCCAGTCTACCACTGAGTAATACCCTATCCCTTTTTATTATTATTTTGAGACAGAAAGTGTTACTAAGCTGCCCAGGCTGGTATTGAACTTGGGATCCTCGTACTTCAGCCTCCCATGAGATTGCAGTCATGTTCCCTCTGCCCAGCTATTCTGCTCTTGATTCAACTGGAGAATAATGGGATGCTACTTCATTAAATTTATCATGTTTTAAAAGACTTTATTGGTTCACCTTCTTTCATTTCCTGTTTAAAACTGTATCATTCTTTGCTCTCCACTTTGAATTCTTTTATCACAAAAATAAAATGAGAATTTAGAACTCAAGGGGCTTCAGAGCTCCTTTGGTTCACTCACATTTGTCAAATGAGAAGCAGCAGTCATCTGAACCTCTCATCAGTAAAATATGACATAGCAAAGCAGACAAACCCCTAACCTACTCCCTGGGCAGAGAGCATTCAGCCTTAGCCTGGAAAGTTCCTCTTCCTTTGTTGATGGTTTAATAGATTTGTGGAGATATAATGTATCTGCCATATGATTTGTCCACTTGGGGTAGGATTCACTGTTTTTTAGTACATTCAGAATTATGCCATTATCAGCACAATGAATTATACAGCATTCTTACCACCTCATGATAAACTCCAAACTCATTAGCGGTTCTCCCTCATTTACTCTCCTCCTGTGCCTGATAACCAGTTATCTGCTTGCTAACTTTCAATTCTTCCTATTCTGGACATTCCATAAGTGGAATCATGTGATAGGTATCTTGTGACTGGCTTCTTTCATTTAGCATGTTTATGTTTTGTTTACTTAGCATGTTTTTAAAACTTCAGCCTGTTTTATTATGTGTCAGTACTTTATTCTTTTTAATTACTAAGCAGTGTTTCATTTATGAGTACATTGTATTTTTTTATCCCTTCATCAGTGGTAGAGATTGTTCCAACTCCCTATTATAAATAATTCTGTTAAAACATTTATGTAAGCCAAAATAAACCTTTTCTTAAAAAAGAAAGAAGAACATTAATGTATGTTTTTGTGTGGATGTGTTTTCATTTCTTGGTGTATATACCTACAAGTGGAATTTCAGGATCATGCAGTAACTCTGTATTTAATTTTCTTAGAATGTCTTCCACAGCACCTGCTCCATTTTACATTCCCAGCAACAATGTACAGAGTTCTGGTTTCTGCACATCACTGCCTCACTTTTTATGTTCTGTCTTTATTGTTGTGACCATCCCAGTGGTTGTAAAGTATAGCTTACTGTGGTTTTGGTATGTATTTCCCTGACGCCCAAAGATGTTAAATATCCTGACCATCCCTCATTTTCTTTGAGTCTGCTCCTTTCCCTACTTTTAAATTGGATTATTTGTGATTTTATCACTGTAAGAATTCTTTATGTGCCCTGGCTGTGAATCTCTTACCAGATAATTTGTAAGCATTTTCTTACATTGTTTAAGTTGTCTTTTCACTCTCTTGATGGTATTATTTGCAACACCAAAGTTGTGAGGTTTTAGTTGAGGAGGGGGTTGAAACAGAATCTTACTGTGTAGCTCAGGCTGTCCTTGAACTTGCTCTGCAACCCAGGGTGCCCTTGAACTCACAGTCCTCCTGTCTCAGCCTCCTGAGCAGTGGTCTTATAGGTATATGCCACCACACATGGCTTAAAGTTGTGGTTTTGATGTCCATTTTTTAAAATCAATTGTGTTTTTGTTTCACAGCTAAGAAACCATTGACTAGCCCAAGGTTACAATGATTCACTTTTTTTTTAGTACCTGGAATCTAATTCAGGGCCTCAAGCTTGCCAGGCAGGCGCTGTGCTGCCGAGCTGTATCCCTAGTCCAAAGATTCACTCCTATTCTTCTAGTTTTAGCACTTACATTTAGATCTGTGATCCATGTAGAGATAATTTTTGTGTGTGTTATGAGAGAAGGACCCAATTTTCTCACCTGTGGATATCCAGTTTTCAGCAGTGTTTGTTGAAAAGACTGTTCTTTCCTCCACTGAAATGTGATAAATTCTTGCCAGCCAAGCTCTTATTAAAGGAATAGCTTTTTCTGTTCTTTTCATAAGACATAGATTTACCAGAATCAAAAGATTCATTCATACAATGCTCTGTTCACAGCCCAGCAGACCTGGTTATCCTAGTCCGAGGTCCAGTGAAGGATTTTATCCCAGTCCACAGCACATGGTTCAGACCAATCATTACCAGGTATGTAAATCATTACAGGCATAAAATGTGTTACTTGATTGTCAGTACTTTTGGTGGGGGGTTATGATATAAGTATAATTTTCTCACTTGTATACTTATTTTCATAAGCAGAAAGCTAAGAAAGTAGTCACCCTCGTTGTTGCCCAAGTGAGACGGCTGAGTATTCAGTGTTGAGTAGGTGGGACAGTGCCTACAGGAGTCTGTAGGCCCATTCTCCAACTGTAGACCAACTGGGCACATACTATACAGAGGTAATACTGAACTGCAGTTTTTCTAGAGGGCAAAAATAAAATTTAAGTTTTTGGTTTTGTTTTTTTTTTTTTGAGTCAGGGTCTTGCTATGTAATTCAGGCTAGCTTTGAACTCACTATGTATCACAAAGTGGCCTCAAACTACAGCAATCCTCCTGCCTTATCCTCCTGAGAAAATTTGAAATTATTGTAGCAGAAACAGTTGAGATCCCTATAGACAAGTTTGGAAAGGATGTTGAGTTTATAGGCATCCTACAATTAGAAAAAATTATCCCTGAAGAAAAGGACATGAAACAAGAGTAAATAATGCTTGTGTTTGCTTTAAGAGACAAAGTTATTAACTTCTGTGAAGATGTAATTTACTTGCAGTGAAATGTGCACATCTTTTGACAGACGCAAGCACCATTGTGTGCCATACCTCCACCACAATAGCAAGCCTAAGGACTCTTCCTGGTGCCCTTCCTAGGGCCCTTTGCCCCTTGGCCCAGAATAAACCACTCTTCTGATTCCTGTTACCAGAGAATGATTTTGCCTGTTCTACGGTTTTATATAAATGTGATTATATAGCATCTATTTCTAGAATTGAGCTTCTTTTTAAACTCGTTATAAGGTCTGTGATGGTCAAAATGGACAGTAATCGGAGTAGCAGAGTGTCTATGGATAGCCTAAGGAAAGAACCACATCTCATTGCTGTGAGATTCTGCACTGTAGCAGATGGCAGAGTGAGCCAGGGATTGTCACAGGGTCTTTGCCTGGCTGTGCAGGAAGTCTAAGCTCAGCTGGTGTTGAGTGCTTGGTTCCTGAGATGAGTGTCAGACAGTGAGTGCTCTGCATCCTGATAGACCCACAGGAGTACTGGCCAGATTAGTGGTGTGTGGCCCAAGCATTTGTACAACTTGGAACTCAAGTACATGTTTGATCGTGGCAGTCTGACCCACTGCAGAGGAAGTCCCTGAGAGTGGGGACAAGTCTAGAGCAGTGCATAAAAAAAAAAGTGATGAATATATTCAACCTTTCTTTTCATTGAACATAATTAATACATTCTTAATTTTTCCAAGACCTGGTGTCCCTAGCTTGTCAGTGAGATGAGCTATAGGACATCTTGATGTTACTCAGTGTTCCTTATAGCCTAAATTGCCCACTAATCTTTCCACATATTGAGCATTATTTAGAAAGTGCCTTAGACCATTCAAAACCTCTTTGATATGAAAACTCCTAAAAGTTCTCTGGCAGTAATATGTCAGCTTTCTCCAAAAATCACAGTGATGCTGCATTTTTTATTTAGTAGAATTTTTATTAATGTATTTTCACTCAGACTACAAAAACTTTGTACGCATTTTTCTTGAAAATTCATCAATTAGATATTGTCTGTCTATAGTTTCAGTATAAATTAATTATTGGAGGCTTAATAAATGCTTACAACCTTTGTTCAAGGATACATAGTAGGAAATATGGACTTAGGTCATTAAAAAAATTAACTAGCAACCCTGGCCATACCATACCAGAAAGCCACAAGTGATCTGTGGAAACGAGTCCTCATTCTGCTTACTTAGTCTCTCAGTCAAGACAGGGGGCCCTCTCTAGAGACCTCTCCTCCTTTATTTTCCTTCTGCCTAGAATTCTTCTCCATGTCTCACTGAACATCTTCTTTCTCTCTTAGTCATCCTTGTGAGAACTGGAAGGCAGGACCTCTCCCACCATCATCCCTTCCTTTATTAGAAGACATCAGGGTTTTCATGTTTTTGTGGCTCTTACTGGGGATGTGGTGGGTTGGGCAGAAAAGAGGGATTCTGGAACCAAGCATATTACAGATCTTTGTGGCTTTCTGTTAGTTTTGCAACCAGAGATACTCTACTGTAGCATTTCCATAAATGTAAAACTGCAAAATAAATGATTTATTGTTTTTTAGTACATGTTTGCATATGTTATCTAATGTAGCCAGAACGAAACTCTTGAGGCTTTTATTGAAAACCCATTTCCTTGCTCTTCCAGCTTCTACAGGCCATTCCTTGCCTTAGGGTCTCCTTGATTCATGTCCAGAGCCAACAGCGTTGGATGTTCTGACCATTCTTCAGTAATCACACTGTTCTTCTATTCTGCGTCCTGTCTATAACTAAGGACTCTTATGATAACATTGGACCCACTCACATAATCCAGAGTAGTCTCTCATCAAGGTCCCTGATTTAGTCATAGCTGCAAAATCCCTTATACCAATTTGGGGAATACATTCACATGTTCAAAAGGTTGGAACTTTGACATTGGGGTGGGGCCACTATTTTGCCCACCACAGCATTCTTTAATTCTAGTTACTTTCTTGCACATGTAAAGCAGAAGCTGTGTTAGGGCAGAACATTACCTTGCCTCCTAACTCACTCACAGGTCTCTGGCTACCCTGGTTCACATGGAATCACAGCTATGGCTGGCAGCATCTACCCAGGTCAGGCATCTCTCTTGGACCAGACAGAGACATGGAATCATAGATCTCAAGAGACACCTATGTGGCAGCCCAACGTGGAGGTAAACTGGGTGTTCTTGGGCTTTAGCTCATAATCTTATGAAGTGCTACTTAAGGCACCTTTTATTTCTAAGTCCAAGGCTACTTGATTTTGATGACTTAATTCTAAAACCAGATTCCTCATCTGTTCATGTATTTCTGGTTTTGTGAATTGTTTTTTACTACAAGTACCTAAGAAGAAAGAAATGCTGCAATCATAGTCTATTCATTTAAAAACCAGAATATAATTAGCATATATATTTAGTCAAGAAAGAACCCAGTAGACAAAGCCTTTATCTCTAAGGGCCATCTGAATTTTTACTAAATTTTCCTAGTGAAACTAAGACCCACTTTCATGTATTAAAAATTTTGTATTTGAATTGAATAGCATCTGTAGTTGTCCATTATTCTTGTTTCCCTCCTTGAAGTAAACATGTTTAATGACTAAAACTCCATAATGTGTATGTGACATTTAAACTGTTACTACTTTACTTCCTAGTTGTTTTGGCTTTTTAAAATAATAGTGTATTCTTTGCATTGTTCGCATAATTTCTTTAGAACAGACCCCTACAAGTGAACTGTGACAGTAAATTTCAGCTGGAGTAATAAAGACCTTTTTCCACACTCTTGCTCTTTTATTTGTTTTAAAACTCACACAATAAAAAGTAGGAATGTGTGAACAAACTTGTAAGACTGAATATGCTGTTTCCACCTCTCCTTCCAGGACTCAGCAGCCTTGGACCTGCGCGGGATTGGTCAGGTATTACCAACCCACCTGATGGAAGAGCGGCTGATCCGACAGCAGCAGGAAATGGAGGAAGATCAGCGCTGGCTGGAAAAAGAGGAGAGATTTCTGGTAATTGTTTTAGAGCAGTTAGTTCTTTCCACTTTTTAAACTTTTTTGGAGTCTGCTGCATTACATATGATTGCAAATTTATTTATTTTGCAAAGCAGGAATTAGTTTTATATCTGGTTCCTAAAACTCGAAGTAGCAGGTTATTGCTTTTCTTGATTATTTTTTAGGGGTCAGAGGCCAGGATTTTTATAGCACATTATGGCTCAGAGCACTTCTGTGGTTTTTCATTACCACAATGTTTACACAGGATGGACTCCCATAAGTGTCAGTGTGCATGTAAAACATTGTGTGTCTGTATCGCAGGGTCTGAGACAAAACTGCTATGAGTCCAGGGTTTGCCTTCCCAGAATTCTCCTACAGCAGCTTTGACAAATGCAACCACCTCCCCACCCCATGAATCTAGACTTAGAGATGGGAAATGCCTTCTTTTAGGCAACCCTTTCTACACTCCCTTCAAAAGTCCCTTAGAAACAGAGAGGAAGTAGTGAGAGATGTCTGATACATTAAATTACACTTAGAGATATTGGGGCTGACCTTAGTGTGCCTGCCCCTTCATGCACATGTGCAAGCTTGGAATATATTATACTGGGAAGATGTTCTTTCTTACTTTTTTAAAATTTAGGCCTTAGAGTCGTATGTGCACCACATTCAGGTCTCTACCACATGGCACTCTCAATAAGCACCTTCTTCACTGTTCTGAGAATAAACCAGTCATTCCCTTAACACTATATCTTTTGGTGATTTGAGAAAGGGTCTTGCTGTGCAGTCCAGGCTGGCCTTGAGCTCACTATGTAGCCTAGGCTGGACTCAAACTTGCAGTTACACTCCTGCTTCAGCCTCCAAAGTACTGGGATTACAGATAGGCATGCCACGATGCCCGGCTTTTTTTTTTTTGAGCCACAATCTTATTATATAGTTCAGACTGGTCTTGAACTCACGATGTAGTCCATGCCCACCTCAAACTCCCGGTAATCATGCCTCAGCCTGCCAAGTGAACATCACATCTTAAGCTTTTTTGTCCACTTGGTCTTTTTTCCCAGGCAGCATTGATTATACCTTAAAAACTAAATAATATAAACTCTCTTAACTAGAACTAACATATTTCAGTCCTAAGGCAGTTTGTAGGACTACCCTTGAACAAAGTTTGCTCCTAATTGCTGCCCAGTGCCACTGCAGTATTAGCAGTGTTGCTGACAAAGTACATGCAGCTAGGGCAGAGGAAAGGGCTGGTATGCTTGGGGGTATTGGGAAGGCCACAGAGTCCAGATAATACAGGAACAAAGACTTGAAGGAGAAGCAAAAATTTGCGGGGCAAACAGCCTCAGGAAGTACATTCAGGGCAGAGGGAAGAGCATGGGTAATAACCTGGGGCCATAAGATCCCAGACGTGGCCAGAGGAGAGCTTGTTCCTGGGGAAGCAGTCTGAGGTCCCACGCTCATGCAGTCTCCTGAGGGAGTTCAGGTGTTCTAAACAAAAACTCAAGATGAAGCTGAGGATAGTTACACATGCCTGTAATCCCATCTGCTCTGTAGAGTAAAGCAGGAAGACCTCAAATTCAAGGCCAGCCCTGGCGATTTAGGGAGACCCTGCCTCAAAATTAAATAAGAAGGGCCAGGGATTTAGGTCAGTGGCACAGCACCTGCCTGGTAAGTATGAGGTCCCGAGTTCAATTCCTGGTCCCTCCAAAAACTTAAAAAATAAAATAAGAAAGGGCTGGGGAATGTAGCTTCTCATACCCTAGGTTCAATCCCCAATATCAGAGGGAGGGGATACTCAAAGATGTACCTGTACTCTGCCAGCCAGTCAGGTGCTGAGAGGTTTTCTTTTATTTCCTTTGATATTATTTACTTACACTGAATTGCACAGATCTGAAGGGCTGTACTGAATATATGAGCCCACATAACATGTGCTTTGTGTAGGATATGCCCAGCTCTCCAGGTAGCCTCCAGCATCCGCAGGTAATCCACCTATAATGTTGGACAGCACAGCCCAAAGGCACTTTCCCGGGTACTGTACTGTCTACAGGACAGCCTGCCAGCCTGCCTCAGTGTGCCTCCCTTCGAATCTGTTCATGACTCCACTTCCTTGATTTCTCTTATATTGCTTTTATGATTTTCTTTAAGTACCTGTCTTAACTCCCGTATTAAATGACTGCATATTATTGTAGAGCTTCAACTGAAATTGTTCCTTATAGTTATCGAACTTTTCAGCTCTGTATTTCTATTAGAATTTAGTTGCAGAATAAAAACTATTTTTAAAAAAGAGAAAAAAGGAATATAGTTGTTTCTCAGGATTTTATTCTTGGAAAGGATACAGTTATTCTCAATGTACAGGTTTTTTTAAAAAAATTTTTCTTTTTCCATTTTCCATACTATTATGTACTGTGTATTCCTCTCCTAAAGCATCTTTCGCCTACTTTGTTTTTGGGTTTTTTTTTTTTTGTTTGTTTGTTTGTTTGTTTGTTTTTGGTATGGTTCTTCATGAAGTACAGTCTTTCCCTTCTGTATTTTAAACATACTGTTTCTAAAGAAGAACCCTCTGAAAGATTTCATCTCAGGAGATGTGTGTCATGCTTCCCTTGGGCTCCTCCTAGTCCTGTGTTCAGGGAAAACTTCCTACCTAGTTATAGTTGGGAATACTGTTGTTTTTTTAGGGGTTTTTTGGTGTTTTTTGTTTGTTTGTTTTTGTCTTTTTGAGACAGGGTCTCGCCATGCAGTTCAGGCTAGCCTTGAGCTCACTTCGTAGTCCAGGCTGGTCTTGAACTCACCACAGTTCTCTTGCCTCAGCCTCCCAAGTGCTAGGATTACAGGCATGTGCCACCACACCCAGCTGGGAATACCTTTAATATTGGTTTTGTGTTTATGATGTTTTATTCCAAATTTATATGGGTGTTCATAAAGTGAGAATGATTTATTCATTGTCATTACTGGTTTCAGGATCGAAATCATACCTGTTTTATAAAATTCTTTGAGTAACCCTATCCGTGTCTCTGCTGTGAGTGTTTGCTTCCTAGGCACCCTCAGTTGGACATTTTATCAGGACGTGAACGTCTGCAGGCCCAGATCTGGGTTCATGAAGGTCCCCACCAAATTTACCTCCTCTGTTGTATTTTCTTGTCATTTTTCTGACACCTCCCCCATCCTACTTAGAAAGTAAAGTTTTGTTCTTTCTGTATCTATTTTCACAATCACTGTCACTAAATTCTCTTAGTTCTGATCCTTGGGCTCTTTTGAATCTGTCCTCTGCTGTCACCCTTTCCTGTCTGAATCTAGTCACTTTTACCTCTCCCTTGAACCACAGCTTCCTTGTGGGGCCCCACTGCCAGCCTTTCTCAGATATTAGACGACCTTGATGGATAAGGATTAAGACAGGTGCAGTTCCTGCCCGTGTCCACAGAACTATCCTTTACATGGGGAGAGAAGAGAAAACAAATTAGAAAAGAAGTCACCAGTCATAACTGCTATCAGAAAAAATAGTGGACAAAGAGGGAGGATAGGTGGCTGAGAAAAATCTAGAGAGCAGAATACATTCCAGCCCAAGAGAGACAGCAGGAGAAGGTAACCGGTGAGCTTGACTGCTGTGGCCAGAGGCCAAGACTGCACCACTGGAGTTGAGAGAGGCTGCAGAGGCTCCAGGGCAGCAATGAACTTGGCAGAGTAGGGGGGCACTACCTGAGTGGAGAGAGTCAGGTTTAATTCCAAATATACTGGGAAATGATAAAATCTTTAAGCAAGATAGTAGTAGTCACTTGGTGTATCAAGAATGTCAGTCGGCCAAGCGGGCACAATGACACACACTTGAAATCCCAGCACTCTGGGAGGCTAAGGCAAGAAAATCAAAAGTTGGAGACCAGGCTGGATGTAGCTCAGTGTGTAGGTCATGGGTTCAGTCTTCAGTACTGAAAGAAAAAAAAAAGAAGCTCAGTTACAGTTACATCTGTCATTGTAAAGATGTCCTGATGGAGATGGGAGCAGGATCGGGAGCCCCTGCTGTCCATACTGTGAGTGGAGTTGGAGGTGTATGCCAGGACGAGAGCTAGGATGCATTCATAATGGGGATTTCCAGCCTGAGGCCTAGGTAGGTGGTCCTAACCATTGAGGGAAATTAAGAGGATGGAAGGAAAATTTTGGAGGCAGGGAACAGGTAAATTAGAACATTTTAAGTTGAAACAAGGGCTGGAGGTATAACTCAGTCATAGAGAGTTTGCCTAGTATGCCAAGCCCTGGATCCCATCTCTACCACAGGAAAGGGAGGGAGAAAGAGAGTAAGGAATAAAATAGTCTCTGAAATATATCTCTGAGCTGTGTCTCATGCTCAGGCACAGCTATATTTATAAAGTCCAGTGTAATCCTCTCCTCTGAATTAAAATCCAGTGGTTGCCAGGACTTTGTTTCCTTTTTTTCTTTGTTCTTTTTTGGAATACGCATTTCATTGTTTCAAGTTGATCTCCAATCCCACACCTGCATTCCTCCCTCTTGTTGAGACTAGAAGGCCTGGGGTCAGCTCCCCCTAAATTGCCTCCTCCCAGGGCTCTGGGCTGGCCCACCTTGCCCAGCTCTGGGTAGAGTACAGCTCCCGACTTCACCTGCGTCCTTCCCCTCAGGCTTTTGCTCCCAGACTTAATCTCCTTTCCTTTGAGGGTTGCTCATCCTCATGCTCGCCTCACCTACCAGTCTGTTTCCTGAGTACTGCGATGCACTTTTGTTGTATTATGTGGGAGAACAGTTAATTCTGCTTATAGAACACTGGAAAACAAATAGAATGTTTCAGGCATAGACTATGAGTAACCAATGAGCTTATGACACACAGAATTCATAGCTGTCCATGCCCTTCCTTACCTTCTTTCTTGTTCTTACCATTTTGTGACATCATTTCAGTTACTTCTTCCATTGTCTCTTCCACTGGAGTGTCGGTGTCAAAGGTACACACTATATTCAGTGTTCTTCCTCAGCTCTTGCAGTGCTGCTCAACACTGGTAAGACTCAGTCCCTGTTTGCTG